GAAGACCAGAAGACACAGAGAAGGACACTGAAGACAGAGGCAGAGACTGGAGTGACCAACTACAAGCTCAGAACACCTGCAGCCAAAACATGAGAGCGGCAAGAAAGGACCTCCTCGTTGGAGCCTCTGGGGGGGCATGAGTCTCCCCATGATTGACATGTTACAACTTGATTTCAGACTTCTCATCTCCAGAACTGACAAGGTTCCTGTTGTGGTAAGCCAGCCAGGTTTTTGGTCATTTGCTACCACAGGCACAGGAAGCTAACACACCAGTACACCTCCTGGGGCTTGGTTTTCTCACCTGTAAAATGGACAGGGCTGCTGTGAGGCTCAGAGAGGATGGGCTGGATCCATGGCGCTAAAAGTCTGACCTCTAGTGACACTGAGGGCATGAGCATCAACAATTCTCGTTACTAGAAAGCGAGGCCTGGGCCAGCGCAGCAACGCCGGAACTCACCTGTGACCACTTTGAAAGGCTTAGCACCTGAGAGAAACCACAGCTGGGCCCGTTTAGGGTTCTAAGCTGTAATTCTGAGGCAGGGTTCTCATGATCACAATGTGATGATAATGATGTTATTATTATGAGTCACTGAGGCGACTACAACTCATAGTGATCCTATGAACAAGAGCTCTGAACCTTGCCTCATTCTGAGCCACTGGCACACCCGACACCGTCACGGTCACTGTGTCAATCCTCCTCATCCAGGGTCGTCTTCTCCTGAACCGACCCCCCACCCTTCCAAGCATGATGTCCTTTTCCAAGGACTGGTCCCTCCTGGCAACATGCCCAAAGTATGTGAGATGGAGCTTGGAGAAGAGAGAAACTATCAATGATTTTATTTTGCTTGGATCCATCATCATCATCATCATCACCTCGGTATCAGCACTCAGGAAATCAAAGACACATAGCTATGGTTGCCTAGTCGTAAGAAGTTGTGCTGCAATCCTGAAGGCACCCGGTTTGAGGCCACCACCTGCTCCACAGGAGGATGAGCAATCCCCTCCCATGTGATTAACTGCCTCTGAAAACCTACTGGAGCGTCAGCTTAGGGTCAGTTCTGACTCAATGGTACACAACAACAACATTACACTGGGCAAGTCAGCTGTCAGGAACCTCGCCAAAGTCCTGAAGAGCAATGATATCAGTTTGAAGACTAAGGTGCACCTGATCCAAACAATAATCTTTCCAATTACTTGTTATGCAGCTGATCGTTGAACAATGAAAAGAATGACAGAAGAAAAATCGTTAGCTTTGAGTTGTGGTGTTGGAAAAGAGTGCTGAATATCCCATGGGCTGCCAAAAGGACAAAGACGTCAGTCTTAGAAAAGATGTAGCCAGCGTGCTCCTTGGAGGCAAGGACAGTGAGACTTCACCTCACACACTTTGGACACGCTATTAGGAGGGGCCAGTCCTTGGAAAGGGACATTATGCTTGGAAAGGTGGAGGGTCAATGAAGGAGGGGAAGACCCTCAACAAGGTGGATCGACACTGTAATGGTGGGCTAGAGTAGGTCGGAGATGGCCAGGATGGCACAGGATAGGGCAAGGTTCAGACAGGCAGGTCACAGGGCCTCTATGAGTCATCACTGACTCAACAGCACTTAACAGCAATAACAACACAGTGACTCTGACAGTGGGCTTGAGCATGGGGGAGATCATGAGGATGGTCAAGGTTTCCATCTGGTGTTCAGAGTCACTATGAGTTGTTCCTAACGATGACATGACAGTAATGTGGGAGGATTAGAGGCAATTATGCTAATGAGGCAGTTGTGTTAATTTGGAAGGCTACAATCTACAGGATTAGGCTGCATTTTGAGTCAATCTCTCTTGTAAACAAATGAGCAGAGAGTGGGAGCTACTACAACCATGAAAGAGGAGGGGGAGGAAAGAGCATCCTTGGGACTCAGGGGCCCCTGTGCTGGGAACCTCCTAGAAGCAGGGGCACCAGTGAGAAAGCCTTCGCCTAGAGCCAGCACTCAGAGTTCATCCTGCTTTTCTCCAGCTGTGAGCCAATAAATGTGTTCACTCCACACCTGTGGTATTCCTGTTGCAGCAGCATGACATGAAAAGGACATCATGCTTGGGGGGTGTGTGGGTGTTACTGGCACTGAGTAGATGGAGGGTATGGAGGCTGCTCAATACCCTACAGTGCAGACGCCCCCATCATGAAGACTGTTCTGGAACCAGATGTCAACAATGCAGATCAAGACTTCTGAGGGATGTTGCTGACACCCTGAGCTCCTATCTGCTTTCTTACGGTCAGAAGCCACAGGGCCCTGGACGAAGGCTGAGATCACAAGGTGTGTGCAGACCAGTGAGGGGCTGTGTGGTTCTGGGGGAACTTCAGACCAGAAATGCCCAGAAAGGGACTTGGGACCACCTTTGATGGTTTAAAAATCTTTGGAGGAGGGTACTCACTTGACCTAGGGTGACTGCACCACAAGGACACTGGACAATGTCTGGGGACATGTGTGGCTGTCATGAATGAAGGAGGAGGATGCTATTGACACTGAGTGGACGGAAGTCAAGGATGACGTTCAACATCATACAGTGCACGGGACACCCTCCCACCCCCCGAGAATGTTTTAGAACCAAATGTTAACAGTAAGGTTGAGAAACCCTGCTCTGAGCTAAAATCACATCAGTCCGACTGGCCCAGGACATGTGTTTGCTCTACTGGGTTTTGAGTCAGCATGGGCACTGGCCACCAAGCAGGCCATGAACTATGGGAAACAGTGGCTACACCTTGTCCAGGAGAGCCCCGAGGGTGGCGGGTGAGAGCACCCCGACTTGGGGTGCAGATGGTCTCGTCACAGTGACTAATGATCCTTGAAGGAGGTCAGGGTAATGGGTCAGAATCCCCATGGGCGGCTCTGGCAGGGAAGCTGTGCCACCATGAGTGGAGTAATCACAAGGCCCTTGCTGCTTTATGGGAGGTCAGTAAAATGATAACTAAGCACCACCTGCTGTATACTCTGTTCCTCTGCGTCTCTGGAGAGGTCGGAGTCTAGCTGGGGATGCTGCGCGGTGTCTGGAGACATTTTTGGTTATTACATTGTAGAATTAACTGTGCTCAACCCCGAACCCACCAGCAGTCACTCTGTGTTTGCCCCAGCGCCTTGGAGACACACATTCAGGCCCCTGGCACCAGTGACGGTGGCCTGGTCTGGAGAAGGCATCTTTGAAGGTGTGATCAAGTTGGGGGTTTTGAAAAGACATTATTCTCAGATCAACTACATGGGCCCTAAAGTCAAGGACAAGTGTTCTTAGAAGAGACAGAACAGGTAAAGTCACAGATATGGAACAGGAAGCTGTGTGAGGACAGAGGCAGAGAACTAACAATGTGGCCTTAAGGCCAGGAACGACCAGAAACTGGGAGAGATGAAGATGGAGCATGGCTCTGGCACAGCTTGACTTTGGACTTCCTAGTCTCCATGACAGAGAGAATGGGAATTTCTGTTCTTGTAATTGACTGTCAAGTGGAATCTGACCCATGGAGACTTCACCTGTTTTTATAAGTCACCCCATTCATGGTACCTAATTCAACTCCCAGCCAATGCACTTGGTGTGCAACCACTACGCGTCTTTCAGGGGAGGTGTGGGGGCTTGTAGGATGCTGAATAGGTTTTGGTGGAGCTTCTAGACTAACACTAGGAAGAAAAGCCTGGCGAATGATTTCTAAACCAGATGACAACCCCACAGACGCAATGGTCTAATCTCTAACAGATTCTGGTGGTTCTGGAAGACCGGGCAGCGTCTCGTCTCATAGTACATGGAGTTGTCCTGAGTCAAGAGCTTGCTTGAAACTACACAAACGAGAAGTGAAAATCCGACTCCAAATGCAGACAGGGGGCCAAGTCCCATGTTCCCCATTAATTTCTTGATTTAAGATATGCAGAAGAACAAAATATATACAGCAAGTGCTGCCTAGACATCAATCCCATGAACTTTCACAGGAGCCCCCTGAGGTGGCCACAACAATGTCCTTGACCCCAAAGGCAAGGTCAGATAGAGGCCAAGGAAGCCAGGGAGTGGAACAGCCACTCCACATTCATGTGAGGAGTTAGTTTAAAAACAAACCAGAGTCTGAAATCAGACCCCCAAACCCAGAGCTGTGGAACCCCGAGGTATTACGTCACCTGGCTCTTACTAGGCAATAGCATGTCATGCTACTCTTAAACACGTGACTAATCTTGTCCTAGATCCACAAGTGAGAGCTTCTATGGGAACTTTTTTTTAAAAAAAATTTTTTTTTTAATTATTTTTGTGTATGTACCATCAAATCAGATCTGACAGGTACAGGAGGAGACTGTCCCTCTTTCTCCAGCAGAACGTCTGGTGGATTCGAACCATACACCTCTGCAGTGTAGCTTCCTGCCACTAGGCCACCAGAGCTCCCTTATAGGAACTTTTTAACACCAGCATCCAAAAAACTCACTCCTAGAGACACAGCGATGGTCCACTAGGGTTCAGCCCCCAGCCTTTGACAGGTGACAGTGTACTATGTTGTCTTCAAAGACACAGTGTATCTTGTCTGAAAACCTGTGTGAGTGAAGGATGCTGAGAAACCTCCGAGACCCAGCCATGAAACTAACCATGCTTCACACTGATGCTCCCATGCATCTGGCCAAGACGGTCCCCTCCAGGTGGATGTGTGCTCCACTGCTCTGAAACATACAGTACTTTTGTCTAAAGACCCCAGTGAGGAAAGGATGCTGCGTGGATTTCTCCAGATCTATAGCCAAAAACCTCACCCTCAAAGATGCAGCACCTCTGACGCCCACTGGAAACCTCAGCTCGAGGGAACAGGTGGCTGGAGGATTCCTCCTCAGCCTCGATGGACCCCTGATGCCCACTGGATGGTCTTTATCCACATGCCAACCATCTGGCCCCAGGCCCACTCCGATCTATTGCCCTTCAAGGTCCTGGACACTGCCCTCCACCCTGGCCATACGTGGAGCTTGCTGGTTTGCTCGTCCCAAGCTCTGCTGCGCCCTTACCTCGAGCACAGGCCCCGCGCCCAGGATGGTGCGCTCGACGCCGCAGGCATAGCCCTTCTGGCTGAGCGCCGTGAGACAGTGGATGAGGAAGTTGGTGCTCTGCGTCTTGCCCGAGCCGCTCTCGCCCGAGATGACGATGCACTGGTTAAGGCGTTTGCGCAGCATGGCGTGGAAGGCTGCGTCGGCGATGGCGAAGATGTGCGGCTCCAGCCGGCCCAGCTGCTGGTTCTCGTACATCTTCACGTACTTGGGGTTGTAGATGGGCAGGAACTTGAAGGGGTTGATGGCCACCAGGATGCTGCCGGCGTAGGTGTAGATCTTCTGCTGCAGGAAGCGCTGCTTGAGGTTGCGCAGCAGGTTGGCCTCGGTCAGCTCGGGCAGGTCGCACAGGTCGTCGAAGTCGGCCTGCTGCCAGGGCAGGAAGCCACGCTGGGCCAGGCGCCGGGCAGCGGCCGCCTGCGCCACCACCTGCATGTGCAGGTACTTGATGGTGCCATCGGCGTTCCGCTCCTGCAGCAGGAAGTAGTAGCCGTCGCAGCGCGGGTGCTCATCCTGGGCGCGGCGAGGCCACAGCAGCACGCGGTGCACGGGCGAGTCATTGGCGTCCAGCACCCACTCCTCGCCGCCTGACTCCTTCACCTCCACCAGCACATAGCGCTTGGAGCCGTCCAGGTGCAAGGTGGCAATGGCGTCGCGGATGACGTCGGACGTGGTGGTGTCCTTGGTGGCCGTCACACGGCAGGAGGCCTGGCTCTCGGCAGACAGCTGCGGGTAGATGTGCAGGTGGTAGGTGGTCTGCTCGCGGTCGGCCCGGCCGTCCGCCTCGCTGGCACTCATCCTGCTGCTGCCGCTGAGGGCCTGGGCTCCGCATGCCTCAGGGCTCGGGGCGCACGTCCATGGGATCTGCAAGGGAAGAGGACACAGTTAGGGCTGCAAAAAGCAGGGTACTGTGTGTGTGGAACTACATCCTCTGCCCACCAGGAGGGTTATAAACCCCATCCCCTGTATTTCTATGCTGTACACTGAACTGTATTCCCCCCCCCCCCAAATGATGTAGATTTCTGTGGATGGTGCAGGGGTGGAATAAGTGGTTTGAGGTGAGCTGCTAACTTAAAGATTGGCAGGCTGAATGCACCCAGTGGCACTGTGGAAGAAAGGCCTGGCAACCTGCTTCTGCAAACACTGTTACTGGATGCTGTTGAGATGACTGACCCAGAGAAAACCCTGTGATGCTGCTCCAGTCTGTAACACATAGGGTCACTAAACTCTTCAATCCAGCCAGTGACCACTAGCAATGACAAGAAGACGGATGTGTAGGGGAAAAAAAAATCTACCTAATGCTTTTATCTGTGGAAGGTCTGTTGTGGTGTTGTGTGCTGTCAAGTTGGAACTCCTAGGTGACCCTTTGACGGGTTTTCAGAGGCAGTCAAATGCATGGGAGGAGGCTGTCCATCCTTCTCCCACAGAGAAGCTGGTAGATTCAAACTCCCAGCCTTTGGAATTGATATGCAGCTCCTTACCATTAGGCCACCAGAGCACTCTGTGGAAGGTCTAGGGTAGAATTAAAAAAGCTTTGCACTTGACCTCTGGTAGTTTAGTGGTAAGGAGTTGTACTGCCAACCCAAAGGCAGGTGTTTCGAATCTACCAGTCTCTCTGCAGGAGAAATCTGGGCAATTTCCTCCTTTGCAATGTACAGCCCCTGAAAGCCTGCTAGAGAGGGAGCTCTGAGTTGGCTCGGACTCGATGGCTGGTTAACAACAAATAATAGAAAGGGTAGTGATGTGAAACTATGCAGCAGTGCAATATAAGAAAGGCCTGCGAGCTGGTCTGTAAAGATGAGAGCCAAGACAACCCTCAGGAGAACTAAATCAGGAGTGATCTGACAGCGCGGGTATGAACCTAAGGGCTGGCGTCTGAAGCTGGTGCTGTAGAAGAAAGGCCGGGCTAACTGCTGCTGTAAAGATCCCAGGCAGGATCTCTGTAGAATGCAGTTTTACTATATATGGTGCCTGTCATGAGCTGAAATCAACTAGACGACCACGGGATGGATTTTGGCTTTTATACCTGTGAATACAATCCTATTTGGAAGTAAGATTTCATTTGTTACTGTTGTTGTTGTTGTTAGGTGCTGTGAAGCTGACTACGTCCCATATCGACCCTATGAACAACAGATCTGAACTCTGTCCTATTCTGTGCCATCCCCATACTTCCTGACACACTAGAGATTAATATAAGATGTGTCTTAAACCAGTCACTTCTAAGAGCAGGCAAAGAAAACCAAGCACCAATGGAGGCAAAGATACTGCAGAACCACCTGTGGGTCAGGAGAATCACCAAGACCCTCAAGTCAGAGAACCAGAGAGGGAGAAGTGTCAAGACTTCTGGGACATCAGAACAACTTAGGGAGAACCATGGGGACCCTCAAAATTCCTATTTAAAAAGCATCTGAGGCTGAAACTCACCACCCATCTACCCGTAAGAAACAACACATCCTGATGGGGTGAGCCGGCTCCAGAAGGATCCCTGGCCCAACCTGCTCACCACGGCCAATGTTGTCATTTATAAGAAAGGACTACACACCTCCTTGTAGATAAGCAGGGTGAGAAGGGATGCAGAACCTGAAGACAGTACTCAATATCTTAGAACAGTATGTTCTAATCAACTGGGTATATGTCTCTGTGGATGGTTCCAGTAACAAGAAACACAATAATAAAAAAAGATGCATGTATTTCAGAAGTGGCTGCAGGGAAAAAGAGAAAGGGCAGCTGATGCTGGTGCAGCCTGTCCGGCATTTCCTAGTGTGAGGCATAAACCTGGCAGGAGTCACGTGTGGCCACGGGAGGACTAAGGAGAGAAAGATGAGCCTCATCTTGGCTCAAAGCCTATCATGTGAGTTGACTGTATCAAGTACACCTGTAAACGCTGCCTGAGAGGAGTGATTATCTTGGGGAGGGGGTGGCTGGAGAAGGCTCAAGGGGCAGGAACATCTAAGTGTGGCTCTGCAGGGTGAAGAGGAGTCTGTGCAGCAGGTAGGAAAATACAAGGAAGTAGGGTATGGTAGGCCCACTATGTATTCATATAAGGGAATATTTTTTTTAGATTTTATATTAATAATTTTAATGAACATTTACAGAGATTTTGGATTTCCATTCATTTATTGTTGCACTTTTCTCCCTGCCCAGCCCTCCCCCCTGCTCTCCCCGCCCCAGTTCACTCCTCTCTTTGAAAAGTAAAAGAAAATTCTTTCTTTGATATACAATCCCCCACACCCCTCCCACCACCCCAAGTACACCCCACTAGGCAACCTTAATTGTGGACTCTTGTGATAACCATAATACCCTATCATACATCGCTTTTAAATCATTCTTTCCCTATATAAGGCTATATTTTAACGCAGTCACATCCATTTATCTACATATTATCCAGTTACGTAAGGTCTAGTCTGTGAGGAGAGGGAGCTCTGGTGGCCCAGTGGTAAGGAGCTTTGCTGCAACCCCAAAGGAACACAGTTCAAATCCACTAGCTGCCCGTGGGAGAAAGAGAGGCAATCCCTTGTGTGATTACACTGTCTCTGAAAACTCACTGGAGTGTCAGATATGGGTTAATTCCGACTCTGAGGCACACAATACCAGTCCACAGGGAGGGAGCGCTGGTGGCTTAGTGGTAAGGAATTCCGCTGCTGATGCAAAGGTACATGGTTTGAATCCACTAGCTGCTCCACAGGAGAAGGATGGGCCATCTCCTCCCCAGAGATTTACTGCCTCTGAGAACCGACGGAAGGGTTAGCTATGAGCCGGTTCCACCTCAACAGTACACAACAACAACAACAACAACAACAACTGTCCGTCAGGAGTTGCATCACTGGTCCAAAGGCTGAGCCTCTCCGGTGTTTGACTCCACCAGCAGTTGCACAAGAGAAAGAAGGACAATCTCCTCCAGGGTGATTTACAACCTCGGAAACCCAAACGAGGGTCAGCTATGAGCTAGTTCTGACCTGAAGGCAGTGAGTTTTGGGTCTGAGTTTTTAATTCTCTTTTATGGTTAAAAAAAGCCCTGGCACTGTTGTGGTTATAGAATCCAGCAGCTAACCAAAGGGTTAGTCGTTCGAACCTATGGACTAGCTGCTCTGCAGGGAGAAGATGTGGGAGCCTGTTTCTGCAAAGGTTTATCACCTTGCAAACTCTATGAGGCAGTTCTACTCCATCCTTCAGGGTCACTAGGAGGTGGAATCGACTTGGGGACAGTAGGTTTAGCAGAGTGGGACAGCTTCAACTGAGACCATGTGGCCTGCATTACTGAAACATTTACCACATGGCTGTCTATGGGAAAAGTGTAGTTAAAATATAGACTCAGAGAGATGTGTGCACACCAATATTCACAGCAGCCCAAGCACCAAAAGTGGAAACAACCAAGTAAAAAGCAGATTAAAAAAACCCACCAACTCAACTCACTGCCATTAATTCCAACCTACAGAAGACCCTACACGAGACATCAGAACAGCCCCACACAGTTTGCAAGGGTGTAAATCTTTATGGACATGGAGAGCTTCATCTTTCTCCAGGGGAGTGACTCGTGGATTTGAACTATGAAAGTTTCCATTAGCAGATGAGTACTTTATCACTGTGTTGCCAGGACATCTTAATGACATTGTGCTTGGCTCTGTAAAAGTGAGATGCTACAGGCAGATAGTACTGAATGACCCAGGAAGCAACAAAAGATAATGGAAGGAATACACAGAGTCACTGGATCAAAAAGAACTTGCAGACACAGACCCATTTCAGGAAGTAGCATATGATCACGAACGAATGGTAATAAAGCAGGAAGTTCAAGCTGCTCAAGAAACTGGCAAAAAAATAAGGCCCCAGGAATTGAGGGAATACCAACTGACATATTTCAACAGATACAGCCCTGGATATGGTCACCAGGTTGTGCCAAAAAATCTGGAGGACAGATACCTGGTCAACTGACTGAAAGAGATCCACATTTATTCCCATTCCCATTCCCAAAAAGGTAATCTTGACAGAATGTGGAAATCATCAAACACTATAATATCACATGCAAACAAAATCTTACTGAAGATTCGACTAGAACAGGACATCGACAGAGAACTGCCAGAAGAAATACAAATTAGGTTTAGAAGAGGCCGTGTTACTAGGAATATCACTGCTGTCAGATGGACCCTGGAAGAAAGCAGAGAAAGTACCTGAGGATTAAATGTCTATTTGCATTTTCTCAACTATGCAAAGGCATGTGACTATGTGGAGCTAATATTGGGAAGAATGGGAATCTTAGAACACTTGATCGTGATCAAGTAAAACAGATACCTAGATCAGAAAGATGCTGTCGGAACAGAACAAAGGGACATCACGAGGTTCAAAATCAGGAAAGGAGTGCATCAGGGATGTAACCTTTTCAATCTACATGCTGAAGAGATCATTCAAGAGGCTGGACCGTATGAAGAAGAATATGGCATCAGGATCTGAGAAAGACTCATTAACAACCTGCTTGATGCTGATGACACAATCTTGTGCACCAAAACTTAAAAGGACTTGAAGTGTTTACTGCAGAAGGTCAAAGTCCGCAGCCTTCAATATGGATTGCATCTTAACATCAAGAAAACAAAGTTCCTTACCACCGGACCAATAGGAAGCAGCATGACAGATGAAGAAAAGACTGAGGTTGTTAACAATTTCATCTTGCTTGGATCCACAATTAACACCCTTGGCACCAGCAGTCCGGAAATCTAGACAAGTCAGTTATATTGAGAAAATCTGCTGTCAAAGACCTCTTCAGAACTCTAAAGAGCAATGATATCAGTCTTGAGACTAAGGTGCACCTGACCCAAGCCACAGTCTTTTCAGTTGCTAACTTTGCATCTGAGAGATAGATAATGACTAAGGATGACAGAAGAATCATCAATGCTTTTGAGTTAGTGCTGGAGAAAAGTAATGAACACACATACTATGGAATCCCAAGAGAATAAGCAGGTCTGTCCTGAAGAGGATGAAACCAGTTTGCTCCTTAGAGGCAAAGATTTTGAAGCTCTATCTCACATACTTTGGACATGTGGCCAGGAAGGACCAGTCTTTAGAGAATGCATCATTCTTAGAAGGTTGAAGAGTCAGTGCAAGAGAGGAAGACCGTGGATGAGACGACTTGACAGAATGACTGTGGCAATGGGGTCAGGTGTATCAGAGAAGGTGAGGTTGGCTCAGGAGAGGACTAGGTTCAGAGCGATTGTGTCTCTATGACTCGTGGTCAACTTGACAGCAAATAACCACAACAGTAAAGGCGAGAATCACTGATACATGCTGGGGTGCGGATGACCTTGCTATAAACTCAAGAGAAGAGCAAAACACACAAGTCCACAGAAACTAAGCAGGTTAATTACTGCTAGGAGTTTGGGGAAGGAGTGTGTAATAAATTAGGCTGCTAACCAAAAGGTAGTCTGTTCAAATCCACCAACTACTTCAAAGGAGAAAGACAGGCTGGCTGCTCCAGTAAATATTTACAATCTCAGAAATGCAATGGAGGAATGCTAGGAGCTGAAGCAGACTCCACGCCAGTGGGCTTAGGGGCTGGAGAAGGGGGACAGGAGGGATAATGTACAGGGTTTCCTGTGGGAGTGATAAGAAGATCTCAAACTAGATAGAGGCGGTGGTTGCACAACATTGTGAACGAACTAAAATGCCACTGAATTACTCAGGGTGGTGTTGTGGGCCGTTGAATCAGAATGAACCCACAGTTGACCCTCCAGTGAGTTTCAGGGACAGGAAGTCACATGGGAAGAGAATGTTCATCCTTCTCCCATGGAGCAGCTGGTGGATTCGAACCATGTGTCTTTAGGATTTCAGAGAAATTTCTTACCACCAGGCCACCATCAGAACTCCCTCACGTTGTTGTGTGATGTTAAGTTGGAACCAACTGATAACTGACCCCCCAGATTTTCAGGGACAGGAAATCACAGGGGAGGAGACTGTCCATCCTTTTCCCACGGAGCAGCTGGTGAACTCCAACCACATGCCTTTGGGATTGCAGCATGGCTACTTACCACTCGGCCACCGGAGCTCCCTTTGTTTCAGGCGCCATCAACTTGGTTCTAACTCAGAGACCCTACAGACACCAGAACTCAGCACTGTCCGGCCCCACACCATCCTCACTGCCACGTTTTAGCTCATTAGTGCAGCCATCCATCTCCTGAGGGTCCTCCTCTCTCTCCCTGGCCCTCTACTTCATTCTCGAGGGACCAGTCCCTCCTGATCACATGTCTGAAGTAGTGACACAGTCTCTCCACTTTCATTTTTTGTGATTTTTTTAAAAAAATTATTTTATTTTATTATGTTTTGTGTGTACCATCAAATCAGATCTGACTGGTACAGGAGGAGATTGCCTCTCCTCCAGCAGAGCGTCTGTCCTCATTTCTGGCTGCATGCCTTCCAAGACCCTGTTCCTTCTTCTGCCTGTCCAAGGATTAGTCAATAACCTTTGCCAACCTCCTACTTCCAATGTATCAGTTCTTCTCTGGTCTTCTTTATTCACTGTCCAGCTGTCTGTCACATGAATAAGGGGAGCACTTGTGTGTTACATGTCAGACTGCTACTCCAAAGGCCAGCAGTTCAAATCCATCAGTCTCTGGAGAAATGCAGGCTGTCTCCTCCCATAAACATTTACAGCAAGGGTAAATGAAAATGCCAAGCCTGGGTCAGATGCACATTAATCTTCTAAACTGTATTTTTGCTTTTTAACACTTCAAAGACGTCTTTTTGCAGTAAATTGGTCCTAAGCAATACACTGTTTTTTTAACATCTACTTCCATGAGTCGGCCCTAGGGCCTGTCTTTCATTGTTTTTGTTCAGACATTCCTCAAGGTCGTACAGCCCTGGTGTACAAGTTGCTGCCATGGTCACTTGTGGTTGCTGTGAAGCTAAACACTGTGACACTGATGTGTCAAATGTGTTAATGGTTGGTTACCCAATGCAGATAGAGAGTGGGGTGAAACTCCCTGATTAAAACAAGCGTGGAAGGAGTGGCATCCACTTCCATAACAGCTTGCCTCTGGAAACCCTATGAACCTGGAGAGAGGATGAAAGACACCCAAGCGTCAAGGACTCTCCTTCATAGGGTCACTATGAGTCACCTACGACTTGACGGCACTTAACAACAACTTCCATGAGTACTGATTGTGGATACACAGTAAAACGAGATTCTGGATAACTCCAGTGTTTTATCATGATGCTGAACTGGTTCAGCTGTGTGGCTTTCTGATTTCTTTATGTAAAGATGTAATCCATATGATAATCTTTGACATTCATCAATTAGTATTTTAAGTTCTCTTTACTTTCAGCAAGCAAGGTTGTGTCATCCGCATATCATGGTTGTTAATAAGTCTTCTCTAATCCTGAAACCAGACTCTTTGCGCATGTTAAAAATGATTAATTAATGCTGTTTGTGAATGTCACCCCAAGACAATATTTTTATAAAGAGTGCAGAGAGTCTGATTCTATGCCCCCTAAAATTCCAGAAAACGCCAACTCGTCCACAGATCGCCGTCCAGTGGCCATGTGGGGTATAGGGCCACACAGGACCAAAAGGAAACTTTTCAGAGGGAAGATCACTCCCTGCCTTGACCGTGGTAACAGTTCCACTGGCACTTCCAAGTGTCAAAATTTGTCCATTTGCACTTGAATTATGCAGCTTTCTCCTCAGTTGCTGTTGGGTGCTTTGAATGGATTTTTTTTAGTTGAGTGCAACTGAGTAGACTCAGCAACCCCATGTGGCAGAGGAAGCAGTAATTTGCAGAAGCAGATCACCAGGCCTTTCTTCCTCAGTCTCACTGTTGTTGCTGTTGAGGTGGAGCTGATGAACAGCTGACACTCCAGTGAGTTTAAAAGCACGGGAGGAGAATGCTCATCTTTCTCTCATGGAATGGATGATGGATTTGAACTGAGCACCTTTGCGTCAGCAGCACAATTCCTTACCTCTGAGTACTCAAATACTGTGTTAGGGCTACTGTACATAAAGCATATCTCCTTAAAGCTGCTAAAACCCAATTGTGTGGATTATTAAGTAAATCATTTCCCTAAAAGCTGATCTTTTAAAAACACTGGGCTCTGTGTTCCTGGTGGTGCAGTGGTTAGAATGCCAGGCTGTCAATCCCAAAGGTAAGTGGTTCAAATCTACCAGTTGCTCCATGGGAGAAAGATGTGGCAAATAATTTGCCTCCATAAAGACTTACAATCTCAAAAACCCTAAGGGCAGTTCCACTCTGTCCTGTAGGGTCACTATGAGTGGGAACTGACCTCATGGCTAGTGGATCTGGGTTTTCTGGCTCTATTTCCAAACGGTAAAATTTTAGGCCCCATAACTTTGCAAGTAGAACATCACCATAAGGAAATGGCTAGAAATCTGTGCTATGTGGCTCTGCTCACCTGGTTGACCCAGCACAGCCCTGAGACCCTTACAGATACCTGCAGCTTCCGAGGCATGAGCGAAATGCAGGAACCTTACTCTGAGGTCTGCACCAGGTTACAGACACACAATATTCTCAAACGTGCATCCAAGCATAGATAACTGGGCACATGCAGGAGTAGACGCACACACAGTCACAGACTGTACAAATACACAGGCATGCTGGAGTACAGACTTGCATATGTGACATGTTCACACACATTATACACAAATATCAACACAAATAAAATTATAAGCCTGTATACATACTCAGATGCAAATATGTGCTAATCTATTCACATGCACACAGGGACGCACAAGAGGACACGCATGTGAGCATGTACTCCCATATTGATGTACAAGTATGTTCCTGGATTGTGTATTAGATTCACTTATGTATACACATAAATGTGTACCTATGTGCGTGTACACATTCATGTGTGCACACCCAAGTGTACACGCAGGTGCCAGGGGTTCAGACACAGCCCTGAACTGAAACCTGGCTTTCACTGTCCAGTGTCCAGATAGCCCCACTCCCACCTCTGACTGACCCTATCTAACCACAGGGCTGTCCTGTGCTGAAGGTCTGGACCCAGGGGCTCCATGGGCCTGGGAAACATATGCCCTACGTGATCTTACTGGTTGGACAGTGCGGGCACAGCATGGCCACCGGCCTCGAGTGCCTGCCTGGAACAGAAGCCCGTGTGTGGACTTGAGGTCCTAGGAGCAGTCACAGACTAGCTAAGGCAGCCCAGCCACCACAGGGCTGCAGCCTGATCCATCCCCAGGCCAGGAGGAAGTCGATAAGGCTTGCTCAAGGGGGTGCTGACCTTCTGGGCTGCAGGAAGTGGGGGTGAAGAGCAAGCACTTCCCCCCATCACAGTTGAGCAGCGGAATCAGCTGGAAGCCATATGCAGAAGCCTCCAGGGTCGGGCCTGAGGGTTCCCACCCTTACCTCCTGCAGCCCCCTTCTACCATGCCACGACCACCCACAGGGCCTCGCCACCTTATAGTTTCTTCCCAGCACTCATTTAAAGCGGCAGGGGGCGAACGTTCTAGTGTCCCCATTCCTCCCATGGCCACTGAGGACAAGACCTGGATTCACCTGGGAGAAGTCCTCCGGAAAACAGCTTTTGTGCCCTTCGACTTCACACCAGAGATGACTGGAGGTCTCTAGGTGGCACAGCCTCCTAATCTAAAGGTTGTTGGTTCAAGCCCTTCCTCTCCCACTCGCACTGCAGAAGAAAGGCCTGGCAATCTGTGTCTATAAGGATTACAGCCACAAAAAGTCTACAGAGTTCAACTCTGTAATATACAGGGTTCCCCAAAGTCACAAGCTACCATCAAAACAAGGGACAACTGGTCAACCCATGGTCATTTCAAAGGTCCCCTGGTGCCAGAACCCTTCAGGAAGGGTTCTGTTCAGGGCTGCACTGTTTCAGGCAGCAGTTTCAGGGGTTCATCCACCCTCTTTGTTCCAGAAAGCTTGGGGTCCATGTTGTTGTTAGGTATAACAACTCATAGTGACCTTATGAACAACAGATCTAAACCCTATTCTATTCTGTGCCATCCACGAGATCCTGTAATTCAATTGTGCACCTCCTTGCTCTCTTCTGAGCAGGATTCTTCCAGGGACTCTCTGATCAAGCTGTCCAGTCCTGGTAGCCAGGCACCATCCAGTTCTTCTGGTCTCATGGTAAAGGAGGCAGCTGTTCGTACAGGATATTAGCCACACCTTCCATCTCCTCCTCCGCCGGACTCTTTCTTCCATCGTCCCAGGTGAGACGTGACCAATGTTGTGCCTTGCAACAGTTGCTTACGAGCTTTTAAGACTCCGATTTCCACAATGAACTAGGAGGCAGAAAAGCAGCACTAAATATGTTGGACAACTAACTGGGAAGTCCCAAGAAACAATGACCCCAAAGCTCTAAACCAAGGGACCAAATCCCACGAGGTCCTTGGCTGTACATAAGAAGCCTCAGAAGGTTGGTTTTTGGTTTGTGGGGTTCCCCCTTTCCCTTAAAAAAAAAAACAACCAACTATCACACAATTTTTTGCCAACTCAACTTTTTACAGGTTTGCAACCTCTTTCCATCAGTTACATTTGTTGTTGTTATGCACCATTGAGTATTCTGTGCCAATCTTCTTGCCTCTGACACACCTACCCGTTACTCCAGATACTGAATCAATTCATCTCATCATCGGTCTTCCTCTCTTGTGCTGTCCCTCCACCCTCCTAAGCATGACGTCCCTCTTCAAGGACTGGTCCCGACTTGCAACTTGTCCAAAGTATGTCAGACGAAGCTTCAGAACACATGCATTCAAGGAGCAGCCTGGTCTAATCCTCGCTAGGACAAACTTGTTTGTTCTCCTAGCAGTCCACGGTATATTCAATACTCTGCACCAACACCACAGCTCAAAGGCATCAATTCTCCTTTAATCCCTAGTTACTGTCTAGCTTTCTCATGCATGGCAAGTAATTACAAAGACTATGGCCTGAATCAGGCGCACCTTTGTTTCCAGACTGACATCGTTGTTCTTCAGTACTTTGGGGAGGTATCTGACAGCAGACTTTCCCAATGCAACTAACCTTTTAATTTTTTGGCTGCTGGTACCAAGAGTGTTGATTGTGGAGCCAAGCAAACTAAAGCTGTTAACAATCTCAATCTCTTTACCATCTATCATAATGCTGCCAATTGGTCCAGTGGTGAGAATGTTCGTTTTCTTGATGTTGTGCTTTAATCCATATTGAAGGCTGTAGTCTCTGACCTTCTGCAGCAAGCAATTCAGGTCCTCCTCAGTTTCAGCAAACAGGGTTGAGTCATCTGCATAAAGCAGATTGTTGATGAGGCTTCCTCCAATCCTGATGCCATATTTCTGCTCACAGAGCCCAGACTCCTTAATAATCTGTTCCACATACAGATTGAAAAGGTATGAAGATAGGACACATCCCTGGCATACATCTTTCCCAATTTTGAACCATGTAGTGTTTCCTTGCTCTGTTCTGACGACTGCCTCCTGGTCCAAGTATAGGCTTCGCAAAAGCACAATCAAGTGTTTGTGGGATTTCCCTTCTTCTCAGAGTCAGCCACAGTTTGTTGTGATCCACATAGTCAAATGCCTTTGCACAGTCTGGTATTCTCTGCTTTCAGCCAAAATCCAGCTAACTAACATTAGCTATAATATCCCTAGTACTATGACCTCTTCTAAACCCAGCCTGCACTTCAGGCAATTCTCTGCTGATGTGCTGTTCCAGTCATTTTTGGATAATCTTCAGAATCTTGCTTGTAGGCGATATCAATGATACTGTTCGATAATTTCTGCATTCTGTTGGGTCACCTTTCTTTGGAATGGGAACAAATATAGATGTTCTCCAGTCAATTGGCCAGGTGGAGGTTGTTGTTGTTGATTGCCGGTGAGCTGAGCACAACTCACAGCAACCCTATGAACAAAAATTTCATCGAGTTTCCAGAGGCACGCTGTTTAGGAAGAGGATGCCACTCCTGCCAGGCAGGTGGTTGTCTTCCGTATTTCTTAGCACAACTTTGTGAGCACATCCAGGGCAACAACAGGTACATTTAGTCTTCTTAAAACCAAACCAGCAATGAAAACTAAGGAGCATTTCGAAAAGACACAATAAAAGACCTAAAGAAATGGAAAAATGTGTGCTATTCATGGATAGGAAGACTCAATGTTGTGAAAATGACAATCCTACTAAAAGCAATCTAAATGTTCAATGCAATCCCAATAAAGATATGAAATTAATTTTTCAAGTAGATTGAAAGGGTAATTGTCAAATTTATTTGGAGAGGTAAGAGACCCTGAGTAAGCAAAACACTTCTGAGAAACAAAATGAGGTGGGAGGCATAGCACTCTCTGAACTCAAAACCTACTACACAGCAGTAGGAACCAAAACAGCATGGTACTGGTACAACGACAGGCACACAGACCAATGGAATAGAATTGAAAACCCAGAAAATGACTCGGCTATCTATGGTCAACTGATATTCAACAAGGAATTCAAAGCTATCAAATGGGGAAATGACAACCTCTTCAACAAATGGTGCTGGCAAAACTGGACTTCCACCTGTAGAAAACTGAAACAGGATCCACATCTCACATTGTACATAAAAATCAACTCATGGTGGATCAGAGACTTGAGAGTAAACCCCAAAACCATAAAGTTCCTAAAAGACAAACTGGAATCAAGCTTAGAAGGCCTAGTGTGGGGTAGAAAGGGACTGCCAAATACAGCCAGAAATGCACAATCTGAAGAGGATAAAATTGATGAATGGGACCTTGTAAAGATTAAATCCCTCTGCATATCAAAAACTTTTCCCAACAGGGTGAAAAGAAAACCCACAGACTGGGAACACACATTTGGCAATACCATCTCAGATAAGAAACTCATAATGGAAGTTTACAGAATATTCCTGGGGCTCCACAAGAAAAAGATAAATAACCCAATTACAAAATGAGCAAAAGACATGGAAAGAATTTTCACAGAGGAAGACATTCAAATGGCCAACAGACACATGAAGAAATGCTCCAAATCACTGGCAATAAGAGAGATGCAAATCAAAACCACAATGAGACACCAAGCTCACTCCAGTAACAGTGGCAAAGTTTAACAGGACAGCAAGTAATAAATGTTGGAGAGGATGTGGCGAAATATAAACTCTTATACATTGCTGGTGGGATTGTAAAATGGTACAACCACTCTGGAAGGAAGTTTGGCACTTCCTCAAAAAACTGGACACAGAAATTATATATGATCCAGCTACTCCACTGCTTGAAATACACCATGAGAAAATGAGAACTGAGGCACCACTGTAGACTTGTACATCAACGTTCATGGCAGCGTTACTCACCATTGTAAGAACATGGAAACAGCCCAGATGTCCAATCAAAATCTAATGGATTGAGAATTTATGGTACATTCATACAATGGTATACTACACAACATGCAGGAGCAATGATTTTGTTAATTATTACCTAACCTGGGAAAGGCTGGAGGGCATTATGGTGAGTGAACTAG